CAAAACCAGTCATAAGGGTCAATTTTTTTGAAATTGAGATTTATAGATCATCGGAAAGCTGAATAATAAGCTTTCCATTGATGCATGGTTTGTTAGGATAGGACAATATCCTATCCGATTTGAAAATCTTGAATCTGAGGGTGCAAAAACATCAAAATATTGAGAGAAAATAATGCTATATTAATAATGCTATTGCTACAAATATACCCCAGCGACTTAAGACTGGTTTTGTGGTCCAGGGTCACATATGTTAAAGGAATATTTTAGTTTAATTCAGGTTGCCATGCTGGCAAATGAAAATAAGAGAATATAACAATTTCAGTTCCATTCCATTCCAATGGACGTCCAAGGAGCAAAGCATTACATGGGGATAAATGTTTTAATACACTTTTTTTTTTAACTATAGACTATGTGTTTAAAATACTAGGATCTTATTTATAACAGGTTGTATTCAATTTTCAATATCTATTTTAACATGACTATGCAGAGCTGGTAAATTTTTACATAACATGCATTACTGTGAACACATTTTTTTAAAGGGGTCATATGATGCTGCTAAAAAGAACATTATTTTGTGTATTTGGTGTAATGAAATGTGTTTATGCAGTTTAAAGTTCAAAAAACACATTATTTTCCACATACTGTACATTATTGTTTCTCCTCTATGCCCCGCCTTTTTGAAACACTTTTTACAAAGTTCATCGGTCTGAAAAAGCGAGCTGTGCTGTGATTGGCCAGCTATCCAATGCGTTGTGATTGGCCGAATACCTCAAGCTTGAGACGGAAATGTTACACCCCTCACATACTGTTGCTAACGTGTCCGGACGGAGCGACGAGACAAAAACATTTAAACCCATTACAAACTAGGCATTTGTTGCATCCAGTGGGGACATAATTACTGATTATAATAATTGCAGGGACTGCAGATGAAAATTAGCCTGAATTACTAAATCTGGCACATTTACATAGTAGACTTGTTTACTCATGTAAATTAATGTGTATTGTCCCTTTTAAATAAAATAAAAACAAACAAACAAACTTATACTGTCTTTTTACGCATTGGGTTGCATTGCATCGCGCCGCGCCGTGCCGCGTAAACATAAAACTCTGTCTGCATTTGTGATCGGAGAAATGACAAACAACAAGTGTTACTCTACACTGCCCAAAACTCGCGTTTGAATCATCAGTGACAAATCCTTTAAATGAAAACGTACTTATGTGAGTCAGAACTGCCGGCATTGTAGTCTAACGTTACTCTCCCAGGATCAGTAAACAGTCCTCCATAAAATGTGCTGCACACATCTGAATATTTGGGTTGAACTGTTCTGGAACAGTGTTGTAAATACAACTTAACCACTGATTTGTAGTCGTGTCCTCTTTTGGAAGACCAAACAAAGTAGTTTCGCTTTCACAATGAAAAACACAGTGGCCTAGCGTGAGGGGAAGCCTAGAGTGAGCTGAGGCCGGGATAGAGTGAGCTGAGGCCGGGCTAGCGTGAGCCGAAGCCCCGGCTTAGCGTGCGCTGAGGCCGGGATAGAGTGAGCTGAGGCAGCGGGGTCGAGAACGGCGCCCGGCGGATGCGACGAATGAGCAGCAACCACATGTGACGACCCCGGGCTGGACTCCGCTTCATCCACGGTGAAAGTTGATGTATTCTCTCAGCGACCAGCACAGATCAGCTCTAGGCATGACGAAGCGGATATCGTCCTCTTTTGGAAGACCAAACAAAGTAGTTTCACAACAAAGCACACAGCGCCTTCACGACATGGCTGCAGTGTCAACAATACTACAGTGAGAATAAAAGTTACGCCTTCTTTCTTTGCGTGAACATTTGGGAGGCGTTATGCAAATCTTCCCACATAGTGAGGTAGATATGTGGGAGCGTGTTAGAACGAGCCGTTTTAGGTAGGTGTGGCTGACTCTGAACTTTTATAAAGAATATCTCTTTGGATTTGAGACTTTAGTCTTTGCAACTTTACAGATCTTCTTTATGCACCAAGAGCTTGTAACACTCCAAAGAGAAAGGAAAAATTGAAATCGCATCATATGACCCCTTTAAATTGAGAGATGAGAAATTATTATACACTGCCATTCAAAAGTTTGGTGTGGTAAGATTTAAAAAAAAAAAAAAAAGAAGAAGAAAGTATTTTAGGCTCTGCAAGGCTGCATTTATTTGATTAAAAATACAGTAAATATTACAATTTAAAATTTCTAAGTTTTCTATTTTAACATATTTTAATAGGTAATTTATTCCTGTGATGGCAAAACTGAATTTTCAGCAGCCATTATTTCAGTCTTCAGTGTCACATGATCCTTCATAAATCATTCTAATATACTGTGTTTGTGGGCGAGAAACATTCCTTTTATCAACGTTGAAAACATTTGTGCTGCATAATCATATTTGTGGAAACCATGATTCATTTTTTTTTTCAGGATTCTCTGATGAATAGAAAGTTCAAAAGAAATACATTTATTTGAAATATAAATCTTTTGTAACATGAATATGAATGTCTTTACAATACATTTTGATCAATTTAATGTGCCCTTGCTGAACAAAAGTATTAATTTATTTACTTTTTTCTTTTTTTTTTAATCTCTATGAAATCTATATAAAATGGTTTCAGAATGAAGTTCTTATCCACCTCACCTCAGGTTACAGGAGGAAGGTGTATATGTGTGTGAGCATGGGTACATTTATCCTCAGCCACACGTGTGGTAAATAGGACCTGTAATAATCACCAGTTGTCCCAGAGGAAATCAACAGTGTTCCTCTGTCATGTGACACTACACATGGGCAGCCTCCGGGCCCTTGTTCTTTATGTGTGTGTGTGTGTGTGTTTGCCATCTGTCCTCTCCTCAGGTTGGTCGCGTGGCAGGGTGGACGTCTGAAGACGAGCACCCTTTGGGGAGGGGAGCAGAAAAATGATGGGGGGATGGGATATAAAAAAGTGACTAATAAACATAAGCGATGAACTCAGAGAGACGAATAGCACAGAATGAAAATTCATTTCCACCTCTCCCTGTGTGGGGCCATGCGGCTGACACATGATTAATTGAGGGGTTTACTGCACGCTGTAAATTGTTCTTCTTCTCTACGGCTCCCCAGAGGCGCTAGGGGCTTTACTGCCCAAGGACCCACACGCGTGCTGAAAATAAAATACAGTAACAAAAAAATGGACTAGAGAAAAAAAAATCGAAATGTTTTCCTTTTCTGCTTCCTACTTAAAGTGACAGTTAACCCAAAAATGAAAAATCTGTCTTCATTTACTTAGTCTCATGTTGTCTTAGACCTGTATGACTTTTTAAAAGAGATATTCCATACAGTGAATGTAAATGGAGACTAAGTACAACCATGATCACCATTCACTTTCAATGTATAGAAAAGAGCAGCTTGGACATTCTACATCTACTTTTATTACACACAAGAAAGAAGGTCATATGAACATCATAAAGGTGAGTAAATGATGACTGATTGAAAAATGGCTTTAATTTTTTTGGGGAAATATTCCTTTATGAGGTTTTGTGCTTACATTACTTTTTCTTGCTAGTGGAGCTTGCTAAGGCAGTAATCTTTATTAGTACATTTACATTTAATCATTTAGCAAACGCTTTTATCCAAAGCTTAGATATACAGAGAAGCAAAAGCTATTTATCGTACCTACTGTATATAACTATATTAACTGTAACACAATACTTAATTTCTTTTCTTATTTTATTTTAGAATTAATTTAAATTCATTTTATTTGCATTTTAATTATATATATATATATATATAGGTAGTTGACAAATAGGCAGTAAAAAATGCTTATTTTGTAAAAGACCATTTTTGAAGAAGAAATGCACTAAATGTCACTAACTTTGTCAATTCTTTCATTGTTTTTTCTTAACATTTTCACTGAACTGTACCATACATTTGTTATGGTGTGACATAGCAAAAATTAAGAAAAAAAACCTCTTAATAATATATAAATAGCATGAGAGAGTTTTATCTTCATTGTTAGACGCTTATTTTCATATAGTGTTATTTATTTAATATGAAATTATAATTAACATCATTTTTTCCCCATGACTTGTTGGACAATTTCAGGACAAATTTTGACAACAAGACAAACTTTTCTGTCATCTGTTAAAAACTGCAGAAAATTATACAATTTTAAGATGAGTGATATTTGTATCCCCCCTATTACAATACTCAACGTTTTTTTTATTTTTTTTATTTTTAGATATTTTGAGATTTTTATGTGTCACACCATGGGACGTTACGTCACACCAAAGTACAGAAATGGTAGTTATTACATTATTTCTATTTAATTTTGAAGATGTCAAAGGAGAAAGAAAGTTTAATTTTGATACAAACAATATCAACATGTTTTTTAAACAAAAATAATCATTTTCATCAACAAAAGTCAGTCTCTTAGTCAATCAGTATGTTACTGAAACTTTTCTAGCCCCCCTGACATGTGTGGCACAGCTAAATATGATTGATATTCAAACTATATTCATCAAGATGTGAATGACATTTTTAAAACTATATGGCTACTGTTTTTAAGGCATCATTTTGATTCTATTTACTTTCTGCATCTTTCTCTTAGGTGGATCCCTGTTAATTTTCTGTCTATATTTCCATGTCCTCTCTCTTCCAGTAATTTCTCTCCCTCAATTCTTTCTGTTTCAAAAACAAATGACCACATTTTATACTTATTTTTAAGACACTTTATAACAGTACAAGTTTTCTGCAGAAACATCCGAAAATAGTTTAATGTAATTATTGCTTTTAAGAACACTGTAAATTATCAAAAAACGCTTTTTAAAGAGACCTTGTCCTCTGGTGTGACATCTTTGTCCTGTGGAGTGACAGTACAGGCGTCACACCGGAGGACATTTTCTGTCACACCAAAGGACGTTTCAGCCTTTTTCTGTCAATTAATGACCTTGCTATTCCAAGCTAACCTGTCATTAGCGGTTAGCCAGACACATTTGCGTCATTTTCCATGATTATGTAGTTTAACATGCAGTTTTAATTAAAAAATTTAAGGGTGTCACACTAAAGGACAACAAAATGTAACACTTTTGTAGTGGTACCAAAAAAAGTTACATTTTGAACAATTCTGAGACAGAAATCGACCATGTGCACGTGTCATGGGCTTCACAGGGGGCTTCTAGAGGAGATCTGCATGGAGGAATGGGCCAAAATACCAGCAACAGTGTGTGAAAACCTTGTGAAGACTTACAGAAAACGTTTGACCTCTGTCATTGCCAACAAAGGGTATATAACAAAGTATTGAGATGAAATTTTGTTATTGACCAAATACTTATTTTCCACCATAATTTGCAAATAAATTCTTTAAAAATCCTACAATGTGATTTTCTGGATTTTTTTTCTCATTTTGTCTCTCATAGTTGAGGTATACCTATGATGAAAATTACAGGCCTCTCTCATCTTTTTAAGTGGGAGAACTTGCACAACTGGTGGCTGACTAAATACTTTTTTCCCCCACTGTATATCCTTTTTTTTTTTTTTTACCTGTTTTTTTTTTATTTTACATGCCACATGATAAAACATGAAAAAGAAAATCACAGATCTGCTGTTTAAAATATTTGGGTCAGGAAGATTAAATTTTTTTTAAAGAAATTAATACTTTTATTCCACAAGGATACATTAAATTGAGCAAAAGTGTCAGTAAAGGACTTCTACATTGTTACAAAAGATTTATAGTTCAAATAAATGCTGTTGACTTTCTGCTCATCAAAGAATTCTGGAAAAATGTATAGTGATTTCCACAAAAATATTAAGCAGCACGACTGTGTTTAACAATAATAAAAAAAATGTTTCTTGAGCAGAAAATCAGCATATTAAAATGATTTCTAAAGGATCATGTGACACTGAATACTGGAGTAATGGCTGCTGAAAATTCAACTTTGCCACGTCAGGAATAAACTACATTTTAAAATATATTCGAATAGAAAACTGTTATTTTAAACTGTTATAATATTATTGTTTTTACTGTATTTTTTTTATTAAATAGTGTAAGAGACAATAAAAAATCTGGCCACTCTTAAAGTCCCCATGAAATCAAAATTAAAGTTTTTTTGTTAGTATCAATATGTTAGTCTTAAGGTTATCTACACAGAACAAAATTATAAACGCAACACTTTTGTTTTTGCCCCCATTTTTCATGAGCAAATGTCAAATGTGGCTTTACGGAGCTCAACGGCTCTGAACGGCTCTAGCCCAAGCTGTGATATAAACGAACGCTATTGGCTATTTTAAAAAGGGGCAGGGCTGCTTGATATGTCCCGCCCTGTCTTCCCGTTTCAGTTAAAATGACGTCAACACATAGAGTAACACAGCGTGTTTCTAAGCATTTCATGGGACCTTTAAGATGGGCTCTTGTGACTTTGGCCAGTGAGCATCCACTTAGTAACAATCTACAGTATCAACCACATGGCAACATGCTCAGAACACTCTTGTACTTGCCTTCTCTTTCACTCTCCTTCACTCTTACTCTTTCTCGTTTCCTCTCCCTTCCCTCATTCTCTCATGTTTGGGGGTCTGAGGTTGAAAGCCACTCTTGTCACTCAGGGTTTTCCTGCTGACATCAGCCACTCACCTAAGAGAAAGAATAAGAAGAGCTTTTTCCCTCCTTTTTAAAAGAAGGCAGTAGTTGACATAGACGTGAAAAAGCACTCAAGCTTAGAGGAATGTCCCTGCATCAGCGTGGCAGGCAACACTAACTGGGTTACAGGAGTGCTGCCCCTCCCAGCCCTGCAGCCTCCTAATGGGGCACAAATGCAAGCGTGCTGCTCAACTACACATTCAGTCTTCATACGTACTGTAACAATTACTTTAAGTGTACGAGAGAGAAAACAGGACTGGATTAAGTTCTTTTTAAGGTGGCATGCTACCTAAGAACTGGTAGCAGTGTTATTTTAGTATCATTGAGGTACTATTATACTTTTTTAACATTTTTTTATTAGTTTTTATTTTAATATTTTGTTTTCATTTTAGTTTTAGTAAGTTTATTAATTTTGTTAAGTATTTTTTAAAATATATTTATAATGTTTTTATTATTTTTTTATTTCATTTTTTTATTTTTTTTATTGCCTTGGCATCTAGCTGAAATAAACTACATTTTATAAGTATTTTATAATAAGTAATAAGTATTTAGAATATATATTAGTATTTAATAAGTATTTTTATTTCAATTAATGTTTTTTCTTTAATGAAATAGTAAGACATTTTGTTATAGTAACAATTTTTTTATTATTGTTCAAATATTAATTACCTAAAATGACTATAACTAATTACCTATAACAACCTATAATAAAATGATTTTATTTAAATTATGAAAAAAAAATTATATTCTGTATAATTTTGCAGTTACTGTAAAATTCTATTCAATTATAATTTTATTAGAATAAATTCATATAGTTTTTTTTAATTGACTTGAGAAAATAGTCACATTTTCTGCTAAAGTGCTGTTCTAACAGTGTGTCTGACTGACTCCCTTGCAAAAAATGCAAATATACCCAACATTATTTATATTTTTTCTTGTGTTCTCTCTCTCTCTCTCTCTCTCTCTCTCTCTCTCTCTCTCTCTCTCTCTCTCTCTCTCTCTCTCTCACTCTCTCACTCTCT